TTGGTTTGTGTTACAAGATTGATAATTACAATTCCTATACAATTATATATAAGAAGAAAAATGGTGGTAGTTAGTGTAGTGGAGGTGATAGTTGGGTTAGGTGAAGTGGAGTGTGTGGGTGAAGTGGAGGTAGGTGAAGTGGAGTGGTGTCAGTGGAGTAGGGTGAAGGTAAAGATTGGGAATTCTAAAAGCCCCCGCAACTCAAGGAGGAGAAGAACCTACACCAACTTGAGTTTGGAGAGAGCTAAAAAAACAAGACAATACATAAAATAAAAAAGGGATAGGAGACACTGTAGGTCCGTGTCAGACGCGTTGGTTGGAAGCTGACTGTAGGGGGTGTCATAAACGTTGTAGAGGACATGTAATGGTGGTGTCAGACGATGTAGAAGACAGTTTATGGGGTCATGTCGGACCGTTGTAGAAGACAGGTTTAATGGGTCATGTCGGACCGTTTATAGAAGACAGTTTATGCGGGTCATGTCGGACACGTTGTAGAAGACAGTTTATGGGGTTCATGTCGGACCTGTTGTATAGACATGGTTGTGACAGTTTACGGAGTCTTGCCTGGACTCCTCGAGAAATCACCGGAATCATGTCGGGAAGTTTACAGAGTCTTGTCGGACTCCCTTAAAAAAATTGCTCCTAAAAGGTGCACCCATTTTTTCAAAAGGCGTGCATCAAAAGGCCGTGCCCCACTTTATCAAAAGATGTGCCATGAAAAGGGTGCCAGTTTTTGTCGGGCGTCCCAAGAGGCCGCGCGATGCGCGTGGCTGCCTTGGCTATATAAAACCAAGACGAAGCATGAGGCTGTGCAAACCAGTTTGAAACCTCTGAATTTTGGCAGTCTGAAATACCTGTACAAACCCTGCCTCGAAACACTTAGCAACCCAAAACATGGCCCTTGCTTCTTCCCGTGCCAGCCTACGCCAGAACCTGCTCACTCTCTTTCCAGAACTGAACGGCCCACAGGAGAAATACTGGTGCGGGTGGCCAAGGTGAAACCTCAACCAAACACCTCTTGGTTTTTGCTCCATTGAACTTTCCGATGCGGCCGCGTGGAGCAAAAAATGGCGGTGCAAACTGATATTGAGGTAAAAGTATATACTCTGATTCAATGCGTGGAAACCATGAGGCGGTCCAAATGTTGTCGAAACGCTGCAGAGAGGACAAATGAGGGTGCAGCATTTAAACGCCAGCTGGCTCTGCTCCAACGCATGTAATAAGGATCACGGAGCAGAGATAAGCGTGCTAGGGCAGAAAAACAAGGAGCTGAAGCGGAAGGCCAGTTGATGTTTCGATTTGGACGGTCCACCCATAAATGCTGCAGTGGGGAGTATGGGGGAGTGACGCGAGCTCGGTGGACAAGGAAACACGGAGGCAAACACCGTCAAGGGCCGCCCAGAGACGGGGGGGGGGGGGGGAGGCAAGGAAAAGACCGGCGGCAGAGTAGAGAAGAAAAATCCCGCCGGTGGATTTGGTTTTGTTGTTTTGGTTTCGTTTGTTTGTTTTGTTTTGTGTTTTTTTTTTTTTTTGTTTTTTTTTCTTTTTTTTGTGTGTGTGTGTAAAATTGTGATGGGTTGATCCCTGAGATGAATAAGAATATGATTTGTGGTGCAAGCTATATGTATGAAGGGAATTGGAAAAAGATTAAAAAGAATGTGAAAGAAAAAATAAAGAAAAAATAATAAAAATATAGTTGAATCAAACAAATGAAAGATGGAGGAAATAAGGAAAGTGGTTTCGCGAGAAAATAAATATAAATAAAATAATGGAGTTGGAAATCACAACGGACGGAGAGATGACAGATTTTTTTTTTTTTTTTTTAAGATAAATAATAAAATAATAAAAATAAGGAAAGTGTCAATAAAAGGGAATGCACAGGGTTCTGAGGTGGTTCACAATAATAATATAAGAATAAACGACTAGAGGAAGAAAAAAAGGGAGAATTTTGTGAGTGCGAGGATGTTGGGGCAGATGGTGTAATGGATCAAAAAGAAAACATAAAACATAAATAATGATTTGAAAACTAGTGATGGTGTGGGGAATCTTGAAGTGGGGTGCAAAAGAGGAGGAAAGGGTTGAAAAGTGACAAAGATGTGCATGGTCCTTGGAGTGGAGAGAGGAAGTGGGTTAAAAACAAATGGTGGGTTTTGGCGGAGAGAGAGAGACAAGAATAAGGAAAATATTGCTTTGCCCAAACTTCAAATGGAAGCCTGGACAACAAATACAGTAAGCAATTGTTTTATCCTTTCAAAGAACACAGCATTAGTTGTGCTTACTAGCATTTGTGTCTGGGCAGCATTTGCATTGAAAGAAACCTCTGGGCCAGTGGTCTTCACGCTTTGAAATTCTCATCAGCAACTTCTCTCCTAAATTGTTCTCCACCTCGTCCATCACAAGTGTATAAATCCCGTCCTGGAGCATAAAGCTGGGAATAATTCTAATGGAAGTTTGCTCCTTAGTAGTGAAGAGGTTTCCCACTCTTTCAACACCTTTTCTCCCCTGTGCCACAGTGATCGGAAATTCATCACTGCTGTTTTTAGGACTGCCTTCCAAAGAGACCCATGGACATACGACCAGCAAGGTTTTTTCGGCATCTCACATCAAAGTAAACTTTGTGGAGTCACTTCCTTTAATCCTCCTTCGATTTCTTTCGCCTGAGTGAGAGCTAGGGTTGCGAAGAGGACTAGCGTCCACACGAGGCGAGTGAAAAGATCGAGTTCTTCTGGCCATTTGTCTCTGGTTTCGACACACCCTTTTGGTTTCGCCTCGCAGCTTTTGATACGAAGAAGGGAATTGAAGAGATTTTGTGCTTGGAACAGGCAGCTGGGGAGGAGCACAATGCAGAGTGGATCAAGGGTATGTGTAAAGGTGCCGGCGACTAGGTTGACGGTCGCGGCGGGCAAGCTAAGGTGAGGTTGCCGCCGCCGGGGAAGCGAAATATACAGGTTTAAAACCTGCTCTGATACCATGTAGAAAATACTGTATTATTGATTGATAATATATTGTTTGTGGTTACAAGATTAATAAATTACAATTCCCTATACAATCTATATTGTAAGAAAATGGTGGTAGTAAGGTGTAGTGGAGGTGATAGTGGGTTAGGTGAACAGTGCGAGTGTGTGTGAAGTGGACGGTAAGGTGAAGTGGAGTGTGTGTAGTGGAGTAGGTGAAAGGTAAAGATGGGAAACTCTAACAGCAAACATAGTTTTCTGTAATTTACACGATGTGTCTTGGTCCTTATAAGTTTCAATTTGCTCGATTTTGCCCTTAACATTTTAACAGATGTGTCATTTTAGTCAATAAAATACCGGTTATTAAGTTAATTTAACAGACAGTCAT